AGAGAGAGAGAGAGAGAGAGAGAGAGAGAGAGAGATCTACAAGAAAATTCATAGGCAGATAGAAAACTATAAAATGTAAATGGCAGCTAAAAAGACAAGTATTATTCAAATTTCAAGTAAAATTATTTATTTTATTACATTTAGTTTTTCTTCTTATTCTCAGTGGCATGTATTTACTTGTCTATAGGATCAATGAACTTGCTACTATGAACCTGAGAACACACACACACACACACACACACACACACTGCACACACACACACTGCACACAAACACACATAAATATATTCAGGTAAATCAGTAAAATAAAACATCTAACTCACCTCCACTGATATCCATGGCATATAATTCTCTCAGTCCCAAGTCATTCAGTGACTTTGTCAAGTCAAGGGGTTCCTGAGATTGGTAATCTTTCAGCAACAGTGTGTGCAATGGGTCGAACTCACACTTGCTACATATGGTAGGCACGAGTTCATGAAGCGACGCGTGTGGACTCACTCTCACTATGGCCTTCTGTGTTCTCTTAAAATTGATCACTACTCTCACAGTTTTCTGAAATGCAGATTAAAGCCACAGTTATATCATAATTTACTGAAACTTTCTATAATCATGTGAAATAAGAAGTTAATCAATAATGATATACAACAAAGAATTATTTTGTATTCTGGCATAAAATTTTTTTTCAGTAATGTTATTTCCTAAATCTAAAGCAACTGCTAAGAAACAATATTACTTTACTAAGTTATGTAAATTTAATTGACAACTCTTGTATAGTAAAATATTAAGTTGACTTCAATCTGAAAAGGAACAAAAACCTTGTGTTTAGTACTTCTACTATTTCTAAATTTTTCTTAAAGTGCTTTCTTTAAAATTAGGAACTACACATAATAATAACTATGTGTAGTTTCTTCAGTCCTTCATTTGGGCAATAATTCTGAATGGTTTATCAATATTCTCAATGAAAAAAGGGGTATTTTGAAAAACAATTACTAATGTTGTCTACCTTCAAAGTAGGCCAAAATAAGACAAAAAGAACTTTATAGTACTTGTCATACAGTAAGTTATCAGTATGAAAAGTAGTGATTGTGAGTAGCTTTTGTTGTTACTGTTATTATACTTCGGTTAATTTGAATATAAGAATAATACTTTTTTTTTTTTTTTAGTATTTAGTACAGGGTTTACAGGGTCTCACTACGTAGACTGGACTCGTAGTGATTCTCCTGTTTTCAGCCTCCCAAGTGCTGGGATTATAGGTGTGAGCCACCACGGCACACCAGGGGTCGAACCCCAGTCTCTCTGCTCTGCCTAAGCAGGTGCTTTAGTCTGTTGAGCTATCTGGCCAGCCCAGAATAACACTAAGCATTTGAGCGTCTTGATGTACATGAATTAAAGCCTGAATATATATAGAACCTTAGCAATATTTGGGTATGCTCAGTGAAATTTACAGCTTGCAGATCCTCAAAGACATTTATTCATAAAACCCCTGAGTATATCTGAGGGGCCCTCAGATTAATAACCTGACATTCTATAGCATAAATAAACTACTTTGAGCATGATAAATAGTACAGATAAGCAATAGGTGAGAACAGACCTACATAGTAGCAACCCATTATCTTAGATAATATTTAAAATTCAATCACATATTAAAGTGAACCTTTTTTTTTTTTTTTTTTGGCAGAACTGGGATTGAACTCAGGCCCTTGTGCTTACCAGGGAAGTGCTTATTCTACTGAGCCATCTCCCCGGCCCCCTAAAGTGAACTTTTTATTATAAAAAACCCTGTCAACTTTTTGTAAATGCTTCATAATATGAAGAAAATATGTAAATGAACGATAATTTAAAACCATGTAAAATTTTATGACGCGGAAAATGGTTCATGTTCATTATAAAGGAAGATTTAATGCCAAAAACGTCTATCACATTATGATAACAGAATAATTTTATAAGGTGCTGATAAAGGGACTTGGGCATTTCTCAATGGAATAGCATTTGCCTAGCATGTGCAATGTCCTAAATCTAACCTTCTGAACTGTGAAAGAAGAAAAAATTATATATATATATATATATTTGTATATGTAAAGAAGTGATTATACTAGAACAATTTCAGTTAAAAATTATAAAGAAAATCGGGCTAGACATGGTGGTCCATGCCTGTAATCCCAGCACTGGGGAGGCTAAGACAGGAGGCTCTCCCTGAGTTTGAGACCTGCCTGGACTACATGGTGAGTTCAAAGCCACGTATGGTCATGCTTCACAGTATGACCCTGTCTAAAAAATAAATAAAAATAAATAAATAAATAAAAACCTGAGTCATTGTATAGTATAAATGGTAACGATTTGGGCATGAGGAAGTTTCAACTGCCACTTATTAGTGAGAAGCCAAAATATTATTTTAATGAATTCTTAAATATGATTTCATTAAAAATTCTAAAAATCTAAGTACATTTTTTAAAATTTATTTTTTATGCATTTGGTGCAGGGTCTCACTACGCAGCTCGGACTCATGGTGATCCTCCTGTTTTCAGCCTCCGCAGTGCTGGGATTACAGGTGTGCACCACCACACTGGGACTCAGTGGCTAGCTCAGCATGCCTGGGGTGGGGGCAGAGCCAGAGCAGCATATGGTATGGGGGACTGAACTGGGGTCCCTGTACTTGCCTAAGCAGGTACTTAATCCACTGAGTTACCTCACTAGCCCATAAATACATTTTTTAAAAAAACTTAAAACACAGAATGCCCATTCTTGTTAACCTTTGATATATTACAGCTTACATTATCACATTCAGTATCTAAAGTATTCCCCCAATTCTAGCCTTTCCAAAGATCAATAACCAACTAAATCCTAAGCTAAGTGGCCTAATATAACATGGTAATCATGTTCAGGTCAAATCTGATCAGGGAATCAACTTTTATTTCATTTATAAGAGCTTTAGATAGTGACTAAAACAATTAACTTAACATCTTAGTCATTAGATATCACAATCTATGGTGGAATCCTTACCTCTGGTATTATAGGTATAGGTTTCTTCTTATCCAAATTTTTTGGCTTTAAAATCACTTTCTCTACGTCCAACATTCCTATTGGTGTGTTTGGCTTAAATTTAATGTTATTCTTCTCAGCTGACAGCAGGTCGATTGTATAACTTGATGGATTTAAATGATACTGTGCACACAGGAATATCAACAAGTCCATCATAGGCTTACTGTAAAAGAAGAGTAATGTTGATCACATGCCCATAAACAATTTCATCAACTATTAATTATTGTTTTAAAAATTACTCTTAGCATACGTTTATCTTCAATCAATATAGCAAGGTTATTACACAATAACTGTGAAAGCATCTTAAAAATCTAACTACCTTTAAGTAAGCTGGGTGCTGTGGCACATGCCTGCAATCCCTGCAGCCTAAGAGGCTGAGGCAGAAAGATGGGACTCCAGCCTGGAAAACTGAGCAACTTAGCACAGTTTTCTCAAAATACAAAGCAAAAGGGGCTGGGGTGTAAGTCAGTGTGAAGGTCTAGGGTTCAATCCCCAATACCAGAAAAGGAAAATTAAACAGACAAAAATTATAAAAGTCAAAAAGTCCTACATAACATGAACGAGACTTAACATACTAGTGTTGGCTCAACAATTACTGTTTTTATCTGCCTTTTTGTCATATAAATTTGAGGAAGAAGCGGAGGAGAAGCCATTATCCTTTCCTTAGCCAGAGCAGATATCGAGTTTAGCATGGACTCCTTTACAAAAGTGCTTGGGATAATGGCAGCCCTTAGCTGATGAACTTCCTGTATTCCAGAGTTCTCATACAATGAAGCACTTGGAAGCACCACCATGTTTTTGGATTTACAAAGAGCAGATACTATCTACGTGAGGAAGCACACAAAATCCTGAAGAGCACAGCACCAATTTCTTAAGTCAGTATTTAATATTTCATAGGCTCTAGCATCACAGCAAAGTATTACAAATAACTGTTCTCACAGATCTAACATATTACTAGGTTGATCAAGAATCAGCAAAGTACAACTGGCAGGTCAAAGTGGGTACAGTGTTTTTAAAAATAAAGTTTTAATGAAACATATTTGTGTCTTCCCATAATAGCTCATGTTCCTTTTGTGTTACAATGGAAGACAGAAACAGACCTGAGGTAGACTGTAGGGACCACAAAACCTAATAGTTTTACTGTCTGAAGCTTGAGAGAAAACACAGCCCCTTGTGTTAGGTAATAAGAAAGTAATCATGCTGAGTACAGTGGCGCATGCCCGCAATCTCAGCACTGGGGGTGGCTGAGGCAGGAATTTATCAAGACTCTGTCTTAAAATGAAAAGTAAAGAGGGTTGGGATGTAGCTGAATGTGGAGACCTGGGCCTCAAAACCCAGTACTGGGCCAGAAAAGAGAAGTAAATGCATGAGATCACTTCAAAGAGTGACTGTGACATACCCATGGTAACACAGGACCTCTTTTTTACAGGAACTTGCATGCCCAACCTGAGATTCCTTTTATTTAGTAGTACGTACCTGCCACGCGTGCCACTTTCACCTTGGATAACCAGTACACACGCATACGCCGCCACATGACTTTTAACTTCCCTTCCTCACCCCAGGTCCTCTAGATACTTCGCAGTTCTTTGCTTTGCTTTCCAAAAATGAACTGTTGACACAGACTTCTGTTTTCATTCACTGTCAACAGTTCAATACGATCTGGGGCTCTTTGTCATCCTTTAAGCAACAAACACTGAAAACTCTTTTGAATCAACTGGCTCCCTTCAATTGCTGGCACTCCTGAATTGCCGGTTCACGTTTAGAAAGAAGGCACCGCAACACCGTACGGAAGTCCTGTTCTCATAGATGGAAGGGCAGGGCCGTGGTCTGGGATAAGTAGACGGCCCCAGTCTGCCCCACCAGGAAACGGTTATAATGGCAGTAAAAGTGTGAGACTCCAATTTCTTAACTGGAGCTGCAAGCCGGACTCCCGGTTCTCAGGAGCTTGACCATGGCACGAGGCTGGGAATCTCGCCCTTCAGTGTGCCTGCTCTCACGTGGCCCCTCGCCACCCTCTCCTAGGCAGAAGATCCAGGAGTCTTCTTCCCAGATGGGCAAGGGTCAGTTGCTTAGGCCACTGTGATCCTGAGATTAAACAAAACTGTGTATAGCTTTTCAAGCTCTCCCCTGCAGTCAGCCCCTGCACTGCACCCACCTTCTTGGCTGACTGCAGTTCCCAGGCCTCCTCGTCCCACAGCATAAAGTGGCGTACACCCGAATGGGCCTCACGTCTCTTCTCCCCAGTAGTCATATATCAGGAGAAGTAAATAAAAAACTAAGTCCTACAATTAAAAACGCCCTCTAGAATATGGCTCATGTGTCAAAATATATTCCCTGGGGCCAGCAAGATAGCGCAGCAGACTAAGCACCTGCTTAGGCAAGTGTAGGGACTGGGATTTGATCCTCAGGGCCACATACCATGCCTGCCAACCCCGCGCCTGGGTGCACTGAGCCAGCCACCAAGTCTGGGCACACACCTGTAATCCCACTTCTGGGGAGGCTGAAAACAGGAGGATCACTATGAATCCAAGCTGCAGAGTGAGACCCTGTACCAAATACATAAAAAAGAGAAAAGAAAAAAGTATATATTCTTTGTCTTCTGTAGCTATTACAAAGTTAAGCCCATTTTTAAATGTGTTGACAGTTCCTTGAATTTTGGTTTTGGACAGGACATTCTAATTTCATTCAAGGAAAGTCTAGTCTAGTGGTCATATGCAAGTTTATCGCCTGGGGATATGCTCCTCTACAGGAGCAACTTGACGCTACATATTGATTCTAGATTTGGAAACGGTACCGTCTTTGAGAGTAGAAAGAGTTAGAAAGAATGAAGTGTGACACATTGGTAAACATAACATAAATCTGTTCATGTTATACCCAAACTGGAAGAGCAGAGAACTTGGCCAACCCAACAGACAACTGTTTGTGGCTGTCAATGTGTAAGTGGTAGTCTTCTCAGATTATATCTCTCTCTACATATAAATGTCAAATAATAAATGGGAAAATATTAAAGGGTCCAAGCTTTTACTTTCTAAGTACACAGTTGTTTATAAAGCCTGTCAGATATTTAAGTGAAAAGAAAAGTTGTAACTTTAACTGTTGAAAGTATTTAAGGATAAAAACACTGCTTGAGTTTTTAGTTGGTGGGACTAGGAAATTCTGTACCGAATTCCTAGTCCACCACCACCACAAGCCTCCAGCCTCCGGAGCTTGGGAGCAGGGGACAGAGGCCTCACAGGCGTCCTGTGATGCCGTTCTGTGAGGACTGCCGCCCCCCTTTCCTCTCTAGGCATCTACACATCTGAATAATGACCCTTTGTAATTTAGCTTATTTTTATGATTCACTGAATCATAAAAATGCCTTTGCTGAACATGTCTCAAAGTTGGAAAATGCAGATAAGCCAAAAAATTAAAACATGTCATTATTGATTAGGCAGATTAAAACTGTTCTTAATATCATGGGATTTAATCTTCTAGTCACACACACATTTACACACTCACGCTGATGTAAGTACAGGTAGGCATTTCTTTTTTTAAAACGCCAGCATGGCATTATGCTGTCTAGTAACCTGCTTTTGTATAGTTACTGTTTTTGAATCTTCATGACAGCCAAATTTTACAGTGATGTATTTATTATGTTTTATTTTTATAAGAAATATGTATATACAGGCAGTGGCTATGTTCTCAATCACAGTTTTCATAAAGGTAATGATTATGTCTGCTTCTGCCTCTGATAAATTTCCAGATAAATTTCTAGGCGAGTTCAGGGCACAGTGCTGACTTATAGTTTTTCTTTTATAATACTGTGCCTGTTTTCACTATCAGAGAATTTTATCAGCTTAGTAATGACCTGATGTATTAGTTTCAAATATTTGCATTACCTTCTTTATTTTTATTTTTTTGTGGTTATTGGGGATCGAACACAGGACTTTGCACTTGCCAGGCAGGTACTCATGCCGCTGAGCTATCTCCCCAGCCTATTACCTTCTTCATAATGTTTCTTATAGTGATGGTTTTTTAACTGATATGTTTACAACATATAATATTCACATTCATTTTCTGGAATTAGGACACCTATGTCTCATATCTTGATCACTTTTATCCTCTCCCTCCCTCCCTGATCTCCTGTACCTATTTCCAAAGAGTCTATCACCCTGTTTCTGTTTTTCTTTTGTTTTACTCTTTATTTTCTTTCGAGCTGGGAAGATAGCTCAGCAGTCTAAGTGTCCGCCTGGCAAGCACAAGGACCCAGGTTTGATTCGTGGTATCATGTGCCGTGCTGGCCACTGAAACCCGGTATGATGCCACACGCCTGTAATCCCAGCACTGGGGTGGCTAAGACAGGAGGATCACTACCAGTCTGAACTGCGTAGCAAGACTCTGTACTAAATAAATAAATAAGTAAATGATTATTTATACTTTGAGTTTCTCATATAAGACAATCTACAGTGAAAATAGAAATTCTACTTGGCCCAGAAATATCTCACCGGATATATTCACTAAAGAGTCCAAGTGATTACCATACGACAGTACTTATGTGTACCTACGTGGACAACCACACCGGTCACAACAGCTGGGCTCTGGAAGGGGCCCAGATGCCCGTCAACAGATGAACAGATAAAGAAAACATGATATACATACACACTAGTATTTTAGACCTCATGTCTAAAATGATGATTTTAGGGTAATGATGATTTTGAGTAAGTCAGATGCAAACTTCTAGCATAATTAAATAAGCGTTCTCAATTTTGAGATTAGATTTATGTACTGGATTGACTCCACTCAATGAACACATGGGCGGTCAGCACTGTTTCCTTTCTGAATTCACCACTGACCTTGGAGGATTAGCATCACATGGATAGACACCAGCATCAATGGAGCAAATTCTAAAACTATCCTATTACTTGTATGTCCATCCTGTATTCCAAACTGATAAATTCTGCAGCAAGCCTACTGATGTGAGCTTGTTAAAACACATGTGGGATGTGGAAATTTACAGGGACAGTTTTTGTATATATGGTATTATTTTTCATTGTTGCTGCTGGTTTGCAGTACTGAGGATTAAACCTAGGGCCTCTGCACTGAGCTGTATCTTTGGCCCTTTTAAAATTTTTATTTTGAGATAGGCTCTCGCTAAACCCTAAGCTGCTAGGCTGGGCTCAGCCT